AGAGCGCGCACGAATAAACCCTAACCTTCATTGGACACTTTAGCACCTGCTGCATACATACATTCATCACGACTCACTGCAAATATTTTATTTCTAATCCCATCAGCAACCTTTTCCATTCCTTTTTAAATAGATACTTTAATTAAAATGTTAACTGTTTTTTTTGTTTGTTTTTGGAAATGCAGCATCTAACCTGATCAGGTGTATTCTGGAGGAAGTAAACTGTGGTAGAGGATGGGGGCGGTGATTGTGGTCGGTGTGAATGTTCCTCTTTCTGTTTCAGTGAAGGGAAGATAAGGCCACTGAGTTGCAGAGGAAGTGAGATTGTAATAGAGCTATGGCTAGTTTAATCCAAACGACCCAATAACCCAGTTTTAGTAGAGGACTCTGCTCTTATAATTTAAATTCAGTACAGGTTTGCCACAGCGGCACAGCCCATCAACATATGTCTCCAATACACCTTTTTTCAGATATGTGAAATATACTACAAATTGATATTTTAATGACGTAACATTCCGTTAAGGTTTATTTATTTTCTTTTTTATTGTCTTTTATATTAAAGGCTATAAATCAGAATTAAATGTTAAAAACTAAACTGAAAAATTTAATTTATGGACAGGGATGGTAAAATATGTGAATGAACATGTCCTACAACAGTGGTTCTCAAACAGGGGGACAAAACAAGCATTAAATAAGCTACTTAATATTCTCTCAACAACTGTTTGTTTTTCTTCAAGGAAAAGGGTTCTTACTGTCTAGAAAATTCTTGAATTGTAATTGAAAAAGTGCAAAAAGACATCTAAATTAAGAAAATCTTATAGCTCCATGGCCATTTTTATTATGAATATACATTTTTGTCGTTGTCAATTTCTGAAATATTTTTCCGTAGAAATTTTGAGTAAAAAAAATGACCCTTACCCTTAAAAATGTACCCTTAATCATTCTCCAGTAAATCACAAATGAATGGAAAAATCATGGAGTCTTCGAAAATAGCTGTGGACAGTGAGGGGTTAAAAAGCACCACTGAGAAGAACCACTGCCCTCCAACATTTCTATTTAGGTTTTCCAGAGGATGAAATATTTAAAAGCAACAGTAGGCTACTTCTTTTATTCTTCAGATTTTGGGCCTGCTGGTATGGGCACTGATTGCAAGCACAGAATATTTCAGATTTTCCCCATTTGGATGGGTGATGTTTGTGACTGTCTTTTATTGGCTTCTCACCCTCTTCCTCCTCATTATCAAACTGGCCAATGGACAAATCCGACAAGTTCCCTGGACTACAGTGGTAGGTGCACTTCTGTACAGTTATAGTCTCTACAAAGCTGTAGAAAAAGGATACAATGATGGCATGCACAAATAGTTCTGCATTTTGATTTAGAAAAACAGGTCTAAACATACCCAAATTACCTTAGTGACTTTAAAAAACAACGTGGCTAAATGTTAAGGAACATATTTTTGTGTTAAGTGTCTTAAACAGCCTAATTGTAGTTCCGTCTCTGAAATCCTAGGTTCTCCTAGGTTCTAATCCTAGGTTCTCATTTTTAACTGCTTAACTGTACACGTCGGCTGCTATTGTTGAGGCAACTTTGGTGAATAAGGGGGTCAGAGGTCGTCATGATTTCAACTGTTGGGCGGCATCGACAGTAATAATCAGTTTGAAGTACATACAGTAATTGTGTGCAAGGCTGTAAACAACATAACTTTGAGGGGAATATATATTTGTGTCAAGTGATGATTATTATAATTGCTCTCCCCTGCCCAGAATATGTAGTTACATTTTCCAAAGTGAAATTTCATTTCCAAGTAAAATACTTTTTTTTTTTCATTTACTTGCATCAAATATTTTTAACGCTTGCCTCTTTTTCTCTTTTCTAGTTTTTTGCATTCCTAGTATCTCTGAGTTACGCTGGTAGTGCGTTCTTCAGTTACAAATCCTGGCACAGAGGAGATGAATAAAATGTGCTGGATTGTAGTTTTTAATCGAATGTTAAAAATATGACTCATCCTACAATTGTTCAGGTATGAACTAATCTTGAAAAAATATTTAATACTGATGATTGTCTTTTATATTAAAAATAAAGAAATGTAGCCTACGTTTCGCTCTGTATGTATTTGCAAACATTCCACACAGATCTCTCTAATGCACAAAATATATTTTTATATATTTTATAGGGACATGCAAAACTTACTTTAGCTTTATTGAATGGAGTTTTATCATAAGGCTCATTGACTGGCTGTGAATGAATAGACAATGTTTCACATATGCTTTGAATGTGCCTTTTAATGTTGGTTCATGTTTGATAGTCTAAAATATGTTGAAAATCCTCATGATGTTTGGACTTACCTGACTGGCTTATTATGAAAGCCTTGTTATATTTCACAAAGGATAGGCAAAGTGCAACTGTCAAATTAAAGCTGTCATTATTGTGTCCTTTGAAAGCAGATCTGATTTAGGCTACTGTAGCGTCTGGACCAATCAAACACACAATTTTTCAATTGATTTAACAAATCAGTTCCTCATTAGATTAACAAATCGCCACAGTCCCCTCACCCAATAAACTGGATGCCAGGATGTCTGCAAATGACACCAAACCATGGCAACCCTGACACCAGATACTACTTTTACGACCTCATGGAATGTGAGCAGGGAAAAGCACTGTCTTTTCATAAGGAAAATCCCCAAGGCACAGTAGGAATGGACTTTTCTACTAATTAAATCATAGGAAAAATTTTATTTGAATGAACACACATAGCCTTCAGGTCATGGTGTATATTATTGTCATTGTGTATTTTGTCTTTGAGATGGTATACTGTTTTATGCAGGCTTATGATCGAAATATTCCTTCCTGTCATCTTACATATATATAACCCTACCATGTTTAGTATCTATGAATTAGTCTTCTGATGATCTAAACAAGCGTGTATATTATATGTTGGTACATAGGCAATATATATTAGT